CCGAAGGATGAGGCATTGGAGTTAACAGAACCCTCTGGTTCGGTGTTTTGATAAGAACACGGACTGACATCGATTAGGTGGACAGAGTCCGAACCTGAATAACCATCGATTTCACGGGAAAGAGAACCCCGAGACAGGATCAAAAAAGGGTCGAGGTCGGAATCTAAAAAAGAAAAGAACGACAATCAATAGATATGGGAGAATACAACCGAGATTCGACTCCAAAGGGGTAAGGGTCGACAAAAGAACCAAAAAGGCACGTAAATCGACTCGACAATAGGAAACAGGAGAGAAGAAACAAGGAAAATATTCCTCATTTCAACTCGACTTGATAAATGAAGGCCAAGTCGATGGCGTATCAATCCGTAAGAAAAAGAGAAGAATTAATCCCTCATGGCAAGACGACTGACGAATGAAAACACTTGAAGAGATGAAAAGTCTACGGTCAAAGATCTAACAAGACCATCGTCAGAAATTTGTATAAAAATCCCCTGAAAATCTGATGAACATGCAAAAATCCAAGCACAACGCCCAGAAAAGCAAAAAAAAAAAAAAAAAAAACCGCACATAACAGTAAATCGAAAGGCAAGGAGAACTTACGCATACTCATGGTGATTGATGTAGAACGCCGGAATGAGAAAAGAGCGTCGGGAAGCTTGAGAGCGCTGTATTTGCCGAAGAGAGAGAGTTCAGAAAGATTGAGTGCGAAAAGTGAAGAAGAGAAAAGGGAGAGAATACTTATAGGGGAAGTGGAAGAAACCCTAGCCCTCAGATTAAAGTCAGATTCAATGGTTGAGATGGTGCACGGAATACGAAGCGGTGGAGAAAGAAAGCGTCTTATCTAAGCTCAAGACCCCGTTTTTGAATTTTGAAATTTGAAAAGATTCAGACTTATCCAATCAATTTGAAATCTGATTGAATAGACAAGTCGGTTTATGAGTCGAAATAACGAGCAGACGTGACGTAGAGTAAGGACAGACGACATGGTATATAAAAAGATTCGAGCGAGACATTCAGACGACAAAATCTACTCGTAAGCTCAGAATCACTTCGAGTAATTTTTGGGGGGACTAGATGATATAGCCATACTATCATATAACGGTTTATGCTGTCCCGATTCAGACACTGCCGAGTCGACTTACACGAAGTTGAATCCACCCATAGAATGCCCCGTCATAACTTATTCGGTCAAAGGGTCAGATGCTTTTCTTAGTCGACCTCTACCATGTCGACTAGCCTAAATCGATTACGTCCGAAAGGATGAATAAGCGTATTAGGGTCTACCAGCGGTTAGGGTTGACCTAGTCGACTCGAGGGGATATCTAGAGTCGACTGGGGTAGTCCCGAGACTCGTGGATCCCCGGCGACTCTGGTACATATCTACATATCAGAGGGAAGCTATTAAGGATAAGAGGGAATCTAAATGCTGACTAGGAGAAGGGCGGAATGCGAACCGACCAGGGCATTTTGGACATTTCAAGTAAGTCGGCCAGGGCATTTTGGAAACTTCAGGTAAATGTTTTACTCCTATATAAAGGGGGCTGAGGTAACCCCAAAACCCTAACTCCCATTCATTTCTAGATTCCTCTCCATTACTGTTGCTGCTCTCTCAGAGCAGCTCTCTTCATCTCTTTCACATACTGACTTGGGCGTCGGAGGCTCTACGCCGGAAACCCCTCCGGCGTTGAGTTCTTGCAGGTGTTCTCGCGGTTTAATAGCGGTTTGGAAGCCATCAAGATAGATCTAAGCTCGTTCCCATCGGTCTATTCTGGATCTGGGCAGTTTTCCATCGGTTCATTCCATATCTGAGAGAAGACCCATCAGATAAATATTGGGGCTACATAACTTTGGCGCCCGATTTTGGTATTATTACATATATTTAAAGAAAGTATGTGGAATAAATTAATTACTCGATAAAAAAAT